AGAGCAAGGGAGGGCTATGCAGGCAGAAGATGACCCTAATGCATTTCACCAAAGCTTATTTCTTTACATATGAGTAAGGAAGTTGGGGTATTTATCCTCCAGTTCTCCTTCTAACATTGATGGGGGGCTGCTTCCAAGGACATCCTTCAGCACTTCTGAGTTGTCCTTGATGGGGGCCAAGTGAGTTCTTCTGGCCAGGAAGAAATCCCTTCCTGCAAAGAGTCTCCAGCATTAGCAATAAGCAGCATTCAACATGCAGAGGGAAATGCTGAATGGAAATTAGAAGAACACCAGTGCTGTAGAAATTTGCTATAAATACCCAGCTATATGTGTACAGGACATGGAGTTTCTAACACCGACCTGGCACACAGGAACATGTATTTAACAGATACTCCTCTTGATTACATGATAAATTCAATGAATTCAGTCCTCACAAAGAAATTGGTGAATGCCTTAAGTATTAGAAGTTATTTAAATAAAAATTAAGTCATTTCCTTAAATTTCATTACCACATATAAATGATGAACTGGGGTTTGAAAGTACACATTTTTATCCACATCATAAATTCAAAACTGTGTTAGATTCATGTTGATGCAAAACATAGTCATTGCTGGAACTTCCAAAAGCAGCAACATTTTTCCAAAAGCAGCAGAGGAATACTTTTAGATCTATGGGTGATCTAGTTCTTTTCATTTCTCCATCAACTTAATATTAATGGATGCCCTTAGGTTAGCCCAAAAGAGTCCATGTTTGCTCTTCTCTTTGGGCCATTCCAAATAAGTCCGCTGTGCCATGAGAGTTTTGAGCTTGTGATAGCTGCCAGGAATGGAATACTGTGGAATGGTTTCTAGCAAGATCAGGATTAAGTTACTTGATCCTTCATGAAAGAGATTGTGATGGGCAAAGTAGAGTTCATAATGACACCACTCGCTCTGGACAAAGTTGGGAGACAAGATAAAGATGGACTTGTAGCTTTTCTCAATGCAGTTTATGATATTTTCCACAATGCTCTTGCCAGGAACAAAGTTTCTCTCGTGGAGACAAATCCGTATATTTTCTTTTTCTAGGTTTGGTATTAATTCACCTTTTACCCAGGCAGAATCATGTTCACTGTATGAAATAAAAGCATGGAACTGGAGAGTTCTTTGGAGTTCTTCTAAGGGTATGTTCCTAGCCCTGCGCCGGGTCTGAGTCCACTGACACACCATCCTGAGATACCAGGGCAGATCAAAGTAGATACAGAGGACAGTCACAGTAATGGCCAACACCAGCCCAGTGACTCCAATGGTCACAATCAGCAGAGCCGTGTTGCAGGTTAACTGAGACACATGAAAGTCCTTCAGTAGGGTTCCCTTATAGTTTTCTGGATAGTCACACTTATAGGAATCAGGCCAACCCTCTATCACTTCACTTGATACTTGGCCTATACTTTGGATAAATTCTCTTAGCTCACATGTGCACTGGAATGGATTATTCCCTGCTCTTATGGACGTAATCTTCTGGCAGCTCTGGAAGAAGTCAGCTGAAGGGTCAGAAATGGAATTATAGTCAATGATCAGTACAGAGAGACTGTTAAACATACCACATCCAGGAAGGTGGGCTAGAGAATTGAAAGCAACATTGAGTTCTTGCAAAACTTCTAGTTTCATGACTGGTTTAGGAATGCTCCTTATTCTGTTACGGTGAAGATCAAGTACTTTGACTCTGGGAGGTAAACATCTGAAAACGGAGTCAGTAAGCATATTTGAAGACATATTTAAACTTAATAAACTTCTAGTCCAAGAACAATTTCCTTCATATTCATCAAATCTTAGAGAATTCTGGCTAACATCCAATTGTTGCAGAGACTTCATTTCCTTAGTCATATCAACAATATTTGCAAGTTCCTTTAATTGATTCATTTGTAAACTAAGTGTCTCCAAATTAGCCAAGTTTCCACAATTTTTAAAAACCGTGTCTGTTAAGAGATTATTGGAAAAATCCAAATACAGAAATGGGCTAATTTGGAATGGGCAGACCATGTGGACTATTCGTGTACCAGACACTGTGAAATTTGGGATGTTCATATTTGAAAAGATTTCATAGATATAACTTTGTGGAAAATTGAATACGTCACTGACAACTTGGTGTATAGACAAGGCCTTCAGTGAAGTGTGAGAATAATCAAAATCTCTGGAATTAAGTTGACCTCGTAGTTTCATATTTGAAATTGAGAAGTATTCTATGCTTGTATGCCAAACCCACTGGAGGATCGTAATAAAAGAGTTCCAAGTTGTGTCAATGTTGTTTAAAGTAAGATTTGATAACCTAGAGTTCTTTTGAAGTTTTGACATAACGTTTCGGAAAGAAATACATCCATTATCCTCTAGTACACATTTGATATTAGACAGTTCCAGACTTACTGCAGTGCTGACTGACACATCCAAAATAAAATGGAATTCCTTTCCTGTGGGGAAAACAATGTGCAGACTCTCTGTGTTAAGGTCTTGAAGGCTCTCAGGGTCTTCTCTTTCTCCATAAGTGTCTCCTAAGACCAGTAGAACCTTACTAATATGCAAATGAGCAATTGGCAGTACACTAGATTTTTGTAACTGTGTGGCACTCAATCCCAGAAACTCTAGTTGAGACATATTGCCAAACTCTCTGCATATGGGCAGGACATCAAATGCATTAAATGAGAGGTCTAAGTGCTTGAAGTTCACAGTAGGGTGGCAAGAAATGTTCCCCAACTTGTTGTGGGACAAATCCAAGTATTCCAATTCCTGGTTGAATTTAAAAATACTGATATCAAGATACTGGATGCTATTATGAGAAATTATCAAAATCCTCAGCTTTGATAGTGATAGGACATCAGAAGTCTGAAGCTCAGATATATAGTTTTGTGATATATCTAAGATTGTTGTTTTCAGGGATAAGTCCTTTGGAACATGGAAGAGACCTGTTTTTGATCTGTCAACTAAAAATTCACTTTCATCAGATAATTGGATTCTGATCTCAAGTAGTAACATGCAGATGATGGCAAAATGGAAAATGCTAGAATTAGTTTTGGTCATTTTATAACTCTAGACATTCCTAAGGGTAGTTACTATTCTTCAGAGCATCTTGATACAAAGATCCTGGAAAAAAAAATTCAATTAGTCATGCCTGACATTAAATATTTTTTACTAGAGACTCATAAAATGTAGACTACATTCCTTGGAGTCACACAACCTGAGAAGGGAAATATACAGATTGGTAAACAATTATATTACCTCTAATCAAATAACTTTTAGTAAGGATGGTGTAATGGGTTCAATGGGAACCCCACCCAAAAGATATATCTACCTCCTAACCATGTCCTAATCTCCAGAAACTGTAAATATTGCCTAATTTGGAAAAAGGGTCTCTGTGGAGATAATCAAGTTAAGGATCTGGAGATAAGGAGATTATCCTGGATTATCCAGGTTGGGCTCTAAATACAATGACAATTGTTCTTATAAGAGAAAGGCAGGGGAATATTTAATGGAGATAACAGAGACATTGAGGAAAAGCCATGTGAAGATGCAGGCAGAGACCAGAGTGATAACAGCCCTAAGAAAAGGAATTCCAACAGCCGCCAGAAGGTGGAAGAGGCTCTGGAGAGAGTGCAGCCCAGGCGACACCTTGGTTTTGAACTTCTCATCTCCAAAACTATGAGAGAATGAATTTCTGATGTTTTAAGTCACCAAATTTATGGTAATTTGTTACAGCTGCCACAGGAAACTAATACAGATGGTTTTACATATTCATGGAAGTCCTGTGACCTCAACCTATGCAAGATCATTTAGAACTCAAGTTGGGATTCACACCTGATATACTTTCTACCTTTGACATATACCTCCCTGTGGCTTTCTTGAGAGTTTCCTTCCCATGTGATTGAATTTGGACTCTTCTTGCATTTCCTTTTATTACCTACACATGGTTTGGGGCCTGATTATAGTCTTATTCCAAAGGTAATTAAATCATGATAAAAGGAAATCCACTTATTTATACATGTATTTATTCATTCAGTATTTATCAATAACCTACTGGCCATTTTGGAAACTGGAGATAGATCAGTGAGTAAGATAAAGTTCTAATTATCTGGTGGAAAGACAGAAGATAAACAAATGACTAAACATGATTTCATGTAGTGATAAGTGCTATATAGAAAAATATGTCAGGTAAATGAATCAAGAATAATGGTACGTATATAATAGTTGATGGTAGCTTTTTTAGGTTTAGTCAGAGAAACCTTCTCTGACAGGCTGGCACTGGGGTAAAAATGAGAATAAGTGAGTGAATAATCCAAGGGAAGATCTGGAGAAAAAGCATTTCTGGCAAAGGAAAAGGCAAGTGCAAAGCTCCTGAGGTGGGGTTGTGATTGGCGCGTGTGGGACACAGAAAGGAAGTCAACATTAGTATGGAGTGATTGAGGAGTTACAGCCAAGATTGTATAGGGTAAAAGATCATTACAAGAAGTCGGCATTCTATTCTGAGAGTGATGAGTGGCTGGTGAGCACTGAAAGATTTTGAGGAAGGGAGTACTTTCTTCTTCTCTCTTCAGAAAACTTTTTTTCATTCATTAATTCCCTATAAAGTGCTAGGCACTATTCTAGGTTTTGTTTATTGCACTAGTTATCAGCCCACTGTAGCTCAGACACTATTTTGTTATCACCATTCCAATGGCACATGAGACTAGAGGGAATTGTGTTGGGATGAACCCTGGAGTGTGAGACATCCCCCCTCAACTCGAGACCCTTTTCAGCTGGGACTACATAGCTACACAGATCTTTCAAGGAACTTATTTAAAATCCCCTACAGCAGCATTACAAAAGCTAGTCATCAGTATCAGCAAAGAGTCAAATTTCTCTTCACATATCCCCTCACCCTCAATGGGCACAGAAGGATCCAATTCAAATCCCAGAACAACCCTGGGTTGCAAAAGTTTACCCAGTTGGATATGCAAACCTATTTGTTTTTGGAGCATTGCTTGGACTTACCCTTTGGTACAGGTGCCCAATGACACCTTGGTTATCCTCATTTCTTTGAGCACAGAAGAAGGCCTGGAACACCCCTCCCATCATCACTCATGAAGATTCTGTGCAAGGAAGGGGACACAGACATTAAAATGACATGTTAAAAGTAAAGGTGCATGTCCACATGGTGTGTACTGTATTGGCTGAAATACTCAGAAATTTCCAAATTCTTCCTCTCCGGCTTCCTGAAACAGCTACTCACACAAGGAGAAATACTTTAAAAAAGGCAAAATAATACCCAAGTATTGCCTAGGCACCTGCTAAGATCTCAAAATAGCACCTCATATTTTTGGTAAAATCTAGATTGACATAAAATGGTTTGAAGTAAATACGGGGTACCCTACTTATTCTTAACCCGAAGTCCAAATCCTGTGGATCTTCCTAACTTCTAGCCAACTCCAGAATTGAAGGAAGCAATGATCGGCATAGTCAGACATGGTACACAGAGAGTAACTAGAGAGACAAGGGACAGAGACAGGACCCCATGCATGGACAGGACAGGAATGCTTAGCATGTGGTGAAACCACCACAATCAAGACGAAAGCTATCCTTGTTCTCTTAACAATAGCTGTTATGAAAGATTTAAATTTATAAAACTGCCTATCCCAAGCATTTCATGAAAGTATGGCTTCAGTTTTATGTTTAGCTAAATTGCCTCAAATGCCCTCTATTCACCCAAACTCCATTCTTCCCTTCCACATATAGTCATTAATTTGAAACCATCTTTATTTCTGTAGTTAAGAATTCAAAGTATTGCACACATGAGAAACTGATTTTAGGCGCTTGGAGGATCTTTAGATTTTATATATCGAACTTGCTGAATCAGTGTAAATCAGTGTTTTTTATCCAAGTCCTAATGACCAGCACTAAATCTCATCTTTATTAGAACCTCGTGACTGTTTTGCTACCAAAAAAAAAAAATGATTACTTGCCAAGTTGATTAGTAAAATGATGCTTTAATTTGAAAGTGTAAAACTATCTGTTAGGCAGAAAAATAGGTATGAGCAGGGTGGAATGAGAATAAGGCCAGTAAAGCCCACTAGAAGGGGCTCAAAGAGTTAACCAGATAAAACTGGAGAGCCAGAAAAGACTCACAGAGTTCATGAGTTAATCAGTTAAAGCTCAAAAGGCCAGGAGCAACTTGGCCTGGAATGTTTGAATATTACCCAGATAAAGAAAAGTATCTCAGCATAGCCTATGTCTTCATTGTGTCAGTTAGATCACGCCATTGTAAGATTTACTTTAGCCTGCTAAAAGGCCCATCTTAGTCTTTAACTTTACCTACATGCTGTTTTTTCCTGTTCTAGCCCCTAATCAAGTAATCTGAAACCTGGGCAAAAGATAAGCATCATGATTAATTTAGCAAACAAACCCAGCCATAAATAGCATAGTAAAGACAGGAAGAATCCCATCTTACAGCTAAGATTGCATTTTAAAACCAAGGAAATTAAAAAGTAAGATTCTTAACGTATTCTTTAGCAAACAGACAGTAACTCAGCCCACCTCAGAGGCAGGGCAGGTGGTCTTGATTGATACGCTCCCAGACCAGGAAGCTGCTATACGGGGAAGGAATCAGAGAAGTAAATTTCTTGAGTTAAGCTAATCCTGGAGGTCTGATAATAAAAGGGTTGTAATGTCTTTCATCAAAGATAAATATCTTGGGACCACTTAACAAATCCACATCCCTAGCCCTTTGCCACATTCTTGAAAAAATCCTTAAAAGGGGGAACTCCCAACCTTTCAGGACACACCTCTCTCTCTAAGGTTGCCCCTCACTTTCTAAGTGCATAGCCTTAAATAAAAGTTTCTCAATCTTTTGGTGCACCTCTCTCTGAGGTCACCCACACTTTCTAAGTGCATATAGCCTTATTAAACTTTTTCTCAGTCTTTCAGGAAAGCCTCACTCTGAGGTCACCCACACATTCTCTCTTTAAGTGTGTTAACTTTAAATAAAACTTTTTACTCTGCTTCACTACTCAGTCTCTGTGCTTCCATTCTTTGCTGTGGCTGGGACAAGAACTGAGGAAAAAAAACAATACCCACCCCTCCCAACATCTATAGGTATGTTTATGTCAATTTTCATAATTATGATAGCTTTAGCCTCATATTATATGATACAATGCATCCATACATTTGAATTGCCTTTGTTTGGAGACTTTGGGGGCATTAAATCAGGACTTTGACTTGTCTTTGTGGATAATACCCATACGGTCTGGTCTGTCTAGCCCACTAAGCTCAGTCCTGCAGCATTCATTGAGTCTTCTCTGCACCAGGCCAGTTAGCTATTAACCACAGGTTGAAAGGTCAGAACCATTTCAAAAGCTTTTCTGTTTTGCTTCCCATATGGTTTCTGATGCCGGGGTTCTTGTTCGCGGAGTTGAAGAATGAACTTTGCAAACACTCAAGGTAGGAGAGCAAGGCAGAGACTTTTATTTAGACATAAAGCAAAAGGACAGAGCTCCTGGCTCAGGCCAGGAGGGGACAAGAGAGCCCTAGGGTGGTGCATTGTCTAGGGGTTTAATAGGTGGTTGAGAGACAAAGGGCTAGGGATGTACACCTGCCAATTGGTCCCAAAATGTTTATCTTTGAAGAGACATTAAGTTTCTAATTAGTCTTCCTGGTTATTTACAAGAATTTTACTGCTCTCATTTCCTCCCAGGATAGCAGCTTCCTGGTCTGGGAGCATATCACTCAAGGCTGCCTGCTTTGCTCCCAAAGTGGACTGAGTTGTTGTCTATTTCTTAAGAAACTTACTTTTTAACTAATTGGGTTTTAAGATGGAATCCTTCCTGTTTTTACCATGTTGTTTTGGGCTTGCTTGCTTCCTTGCCCAAGTTGCAACAAATCATTTTTTTAGGGCTGGAGGAAGAAAAGCAGTACCTGCATAAAGTTAGAAAAATAAGCTGGGCCCCCCAGCAGGCCAAAGCAAATCTCACAATGGATTCTCTTGCTTTGATTTTTTCCAGAGGCCCCCACCCTACTCTGTCTAAGCCCATGGTCCCTGTCTCAGTTTCCATGAACTTTTGCTTTTTGTTGTAAAGAACACACTCACTTTCAACTCTTCTGATCAATTTGGATGTAGCCCAGTAAGCATTTTCAAAACCTTCAATTTGGATGTAGCCCAGTAAGCATTTTCAAAACCTACAATTCTATCACCTGACCGGTAGCTCGCCAGAATGGTTTCAAAGGTCAGAAAAAAAAAAAAAAAAAAAAACACGCAGCTCATGGGAACAACGCCAAGAAAAAAGGAAAATAAACTTGCCCGCAAAAACAGAGGAGTTGCCATAAAGACAGCAGTACTGCCTCCAGGAGTCATTTACTTATATCAATTTTCCCCAGCATTCTCATTGCAAAGAGAGGGAGAGGAAAAAGGCAAACAATGATGCCACCTGAAACCAGCAGCTAACAGCTCTATAAAGAAATCGCAAGAAGACATCTGTGACCTAAACACTCTTCTCCCAACTCAAATATATCTCTTGAAAGCAACCATGCCTTCCTTAGACGAGGCGCCATTTGAGAAAAAGCAAACACAAAAAAGCTTTCTCTGACTTGCAAGGAGCTGATGAACAAATGCTCCTTCATACTGCAAATAAGTACATATCAGAAATAACCCACTTAGAAAAACACGCAGGACTTAATTATTGCGACACAGAGATTTTTGTGTCAATAAATAGTTACACCATTATTTCTTTTTATAGATTTTATAGAATAAAAAAAGATGTCACTTACCAAGACAACCTGCCAGTCTGTCCTGTTGGCAGCCTGTATGTAATTCAAATACTTCCTGGAACATTTATTTCCTGGTAACCACATTTAATGTTGGGGATGGGGAAAATAAAAGCTCTTTTATGCCATCTACTGAGTCCCACCGAAACTACATTACATGGTAAGTGTAAACCTATTTTCTCCTATTTATATGTAGAATAGAGTCTGTGGGGTAATTGATAGACTTGTATTAAAAGAGTCGTATCTTTATGGCTCTTTATTTCACTACAGTCGACTCACTATTGTCTACACTAATGAGGTGAAGGAGGTGGTGGTAATAATCCACACATGATTATTAACTGAATGTAAAATGCGTAGCCATGCTGGTAGGGTTGGGAGTGCAGGTCTCCATATATTTCAGGGGCTTTGCTTTTCCTCTTGCCTTTTGATCAGTCCCTGTTAAAAGCGACTGATAGTAGAAAGAGGTGGGGGGTGGGGTGTCATGATGAAAGTTTCCTAAAACTAATGTATAAGGAGAGAAGATCATTCCTGTGATAATATATGGGATGGATGCTAATCATGTCTTTTCTGGCAAGTTGATTTTCAGAGAAAATCTGGTGCTCAAATTTTTTTCTACTGATATTTTCAAACTTCCTTCAAAAAGTGATTTTTAAAAACTCCATGTGAAAAACATGCTGTCTAACAATCTCTTTTCTCACTTAAGGTCTAAGGCATTCCCTTCGGGTTAGTTGTCGGCACACGGAGGGAATTCATCAATAGCATCATTTGTCTTTTAAAGTAACAAAATAACAAAACAACAAATGGGCAAATAACACTAAGAAATATGCCAGCTGTTTGCCTCTAGACCTGACCTCAGCCTAGTAAATTCATGATGTCCAGCCACAAACAGGACACGATCCTTTGCTGAAATCAGCTTTTCTACCACAGGAAGCAAGGCAATTTCCCTCAACTAAGAAAGAACATGGGATTCTTTTTGACTTGTAATACTCTCTCTGTCTCTCTCTGTGTGTTCCTCTTACCCCTCACAATTTGTTNAGAGAATTGAAAGCAACATTGAGTTCTTGCAAAGCTTCTAGTTTCATGACTGGTTTAGGAATGCTCCTTATTCTGTTACGGTGAAGATCAAGTACCTTGACTCTGGGAGGTAAACATCTGAAAACGGAGTCAGTAAGCATATTTGAAGACAAGTTTAACACCACTATACTCCCAACCCAACTGCAATTTCTACCATGTCTACCATATTCCAAAGAATTCCAGCTAACATCCAGTATTTCCAAAGATGGCATCTCCTTAGTCATGAGACTTACTTTGAAAAGGTCTTTTAATTTATTCTTTTGTAAGATAAGAGTCTCCAATCTAACTAAAGTGGAACATTCTTGAAAAATACTATCTGTGAAAACATTCTGGGTAAAGTTCAAAAACTTAAATGTGCTTGGTGCCTGAGGACAAAGCATGTGTACAAAGGGCGTATCTGATATGGTTAACATCATAATATTCATCTCAGAAAACACTCTGTATAATGCTTGCTGTGAAAAAATAAAAACTCTGTTTGCGATATGTTCTATTTTCAGTGCTCTCAATGCTGTTTTATGGTAAGTAAAATCTTCTTTACCAATGCTTTTTACTATTGTTAAATTGTAAATATTGAGATTTTCTACAGGTTTGGTCCAGAGGAATTGAAAAACTCTAACTAAGCATTTCCAAGTTGTTTCCATGTGGTTGAGGGTAAAATTCAGTAAGTTTGGTCCTCCAGTGAGTTCTGATAAAAATTTAATTAAAACCTGACAGTTGTCATCATTTAATTTAACATTAGTCAGTTGTAGGCACCCTAAACTATAAACTGATATGTTCACCTGGACAAAGAATAAACTATTTGGGTGAAAAACAAGGTGAAGTGTTTTTGTATTCAGAATTTGAAGATTTTCTGTCTCATTTTCTTTCACATAATAGCCTTCTAAATCCAGAAGGATGCAATTTAGATGCAAGTGAGCAATTGGCAAGAGATCTAATTGTTGTATCCTTTTAGCACTTAATCCCAAGAAATTCAACTGTGTCAAGTTGCTGAATTCCTTACATATGGGCAGGACATCAAAGTCATTGAAGGAGAGGTCTAAATGCTTGAGACTCATGATAGGATGGCAGGATATCTTCTGCAACTGATTGTGAGATAAATCCAAATATTCCAAATGCTGGTTGGACCTAAAAATACTAAAATCAAGGACCCGGACTTTATTATGGGAAAGTCTCAAAACTTTCAGCCCTAAGAGAGAGCTGATGTCAGAGATGTGAAGCTCAGATATACAGTTCCGAGACAAATCTAAGACTTTGGTTTTTGGTGGCAGGTCTTTTGGAACATGAGTAAGGCCTATTTTCGACATGTCTACTGCAAGTTTACTTGCATCAGAGAACTGGATTATGGTTCCAACTATTAAGGTCACAATGTAAACATAATGAAAGCCTCTGACAATAGATTCTTTGTCTTTGGTCATGATGCTGAAATGGCTATCCTCCAAAGGTTGTTGCTATTCTTCAGGGCATCTTGATATTCTTCAGGGCATCATGATATGTGTCCAAATTCTGGAAATATTACATATATTAAGGTGCGTAACAATTGGATGATTGTTCTCAAACCTTCACCTACTAAACAGAAAATCTCAATGATTTTTTTCACTGTCATTTCTGCCCCCATAGTTAATTAAATGTGATGTTTTTTCCTACTTACATAGCTTGCTGGTGCCAGGGGAAGCAATACAAACCTTATTATTAAAGAAGCGTGGTTGTGTGTTTTAACCTGGCTGGTGCATCTCTAAGGGATTCACTCAGGATTGCCTTTGTTTTTACTTCCCTCAGAACTTTCTCAGGACTGGAGCAACCTCCTAGGCAATGTTTACAGAAAGCTTTCAAAGGCAAATATTCTAGCCACAGACATCTGGAACAAATGAATAAGAGATGGGACAAGCAGCAGACACACCAAAAATCCAGGGAAGAAGGAGGCTGGGAGAAGAGATATATCAGAAAAAAAAGTTGTTGAAAGACTCCACATATACCAAAAAATCTAGAAAACTACATACATGCTCAAGACTAGAGACATGTTAAGAAAAGTCCTGAGAAAAATCCTAAACCTTCACCTCTGGCTGACCTTTAGGCTCTGGCAGTAGGAAGTGAAGGCTAAGACAGAGTTGTAAACTGATTGGATATACATTGATGAAGTGCTTCAACACAGAGACATCTGAAAAGATCAGATGTTTTATTTTTATTTTGTTTTAGTTCTTCTCCAGGTGCTTAAGAGAATCCCTATTAAATCATTAGCTGACCACTATGCCAATGGAACAAATAATTCAATGACAACACACAACAAAGAATACAATCTTTACAAAATTAGTTTAGAAAAGTCTCTAAGCACACAACCAGCTGCACCCTACAACAAGCAGTAACAACCCTGGGAGAAAGGAAAATCTGAGTTACCACATTTCCAGAATTGCCACATTAGAATATTTTAGATGCCTGCTTTAAACAAAAAAACTATGAAACATGCAAGAAATAAGAAAGTATTGCCCATTCACAGGGACAAAAGAAAAGAACAATTAGAGAACTGATGTCACTCAACTTCAAGACTTACTATACAGCTACAGTAATCAAGACAGCATAGTACAGGTGAAATAATGGACAGACAGATCAATGAGCCAGAATAAAAAACTTAGAAATAGGCCCCACAAACAAAGTCAGATGATCTTTGACAAAGGAGCAAAGGCAATTCACTGAAGAAAGGATAGTCTTTTAAACAAATGGTGCTGGAGCAACTAGATATCCACAGGCAAAAAAAGAAAGAAAGTCTGAAGAGTTTTCACAAAAATTAGCCCCAAATGGATTACAGACCTAAATGTAAAATGCAAAACTATAAAACCTGGTGATAATGTAGGAGAAAATCTAAGTGACCTTGAGTTTGGTGAAGACTTTCTAAACACAACATCAAAAGCACAATTCATAAAAGAAAAAAAATTTAACTTGGACTCCATTAGAGTGACATTTCTCTGCTTTGCAACACACACTGTTAAGATAATGAAAAAAGCCACAGACTTGGAGAAAATATTTACAAAATACTTATCTGATAAAGGACTTGCATCCAAAATATACAATGAACTCTTAAACTCAACAATAAGAAAAGAGAAATGACAAAATGTTAAGTGGGCAAAAGATCTGCACAGCTACCTCACCAAAGAAGATATACAAAGGATAAATAAGCATATGAAAAGATAATATATGTCATTGAGGAACTGCAAATTAAAATAACAATGAGATACCATTACATACCTATTAGAAAGGCCAAAATCCCAAACAATATCAAATACTGGTGAGGATATGAATCAACAGGGACATTCATTTTTGGTGGGAATTAAAAATGGTACAGACACTTTGGAAGACAGTCTGACAGTTTTTTACAAAGCTAAATATAAACATATGATCCAGCAATCACACTCTCAGGTTTTTATCCAAATGAATTAAAAATATATGGGCACATAAGAAGAAAACAAATCCTACCATTTGCAACAACATGGATGGAGCTAGAGGGTATTATGCTCAGTGAAATAAGCCAGGTGGAGAAAGAAAACTACCAAATGATTTCACTCATCTGTGGAGTATAAGAACAAAGAAAAAACTGAAGGAACAAAACAGCAGCTGAATCATAGAACCCAAGAACGGACTAACAGTTACCAAAGGAAAAGGGACTGGGGAGGATGGGTGGGAAGGGAGGGATAAGGGGGTGGAAATAAAGGGAGCATTACGATTAGCATCTATAATGTGGGGGGTGGAGCACAGGGAGGCTGTGCAACACAGAGAAGACAAGTAGTGATTGTACAGCATCTTACTATGCTGATGGACAGTGACTGTAATGGGATGTGTTGGGGGTACTTGGTGAAGGGGGGAGTCTAGTAAACATAATGTTCCTCATGTAATTGTAGATTAATGATACAAAAAAAAATCTATGGGCACACAAACCTTGCACATGGATGTTTATAGCAGCGTTATTCCTAGCTGCCAAAAACTGAGAGCAATAGGATGGCCTTTAATAGGTAGGAAGGTAAACAAGCTGGTGTATAAAAACAATGGAATATTATTCAGCAATAAAAATAATGAGCTATCAGGCTACAAAAAGTCATGGAGGAACCAAAATGCATATTGCTAAGTAAAAGAAGCGAGTCTTTAAAGACTAACAGTTGTATGATTCCAACTCTATGACATTCGGGAAAAGGTGAAACTAAAGAGAAAATAAAATGGTCAGTAGTTGCCAGGGATTGTGGGAAGGGAGGGTGAGTAAGCAGAGCAATTTTAGTACAGTGCAACTATTCCATATGATATTGTAATGGTGGATATATGACATTATGCATTTGTCATTACACATTATGTGTATGCCACAGCATTACACAACATGAAGACTGAATCCTAATGTAAAATATGGACTTTAGTTCACAATAATGAGAGAAGTTAACACTCATGGAAACAGAGATAAAAAGCAGAATAGTTATTTATAATAGATATTTTCAGAAATAAATTTTCAAAAAAAATGGAATAGAAATCATGAAAATTAAAAACTTAATAGTTGAAATAGAGAACTCATTGATGAGTTGAATTGCAGAGTGACACCACTGATGTAAAACTTAGTGAGATAGAACAAGAAGATGAATTTTCCCACAACACAGTAGGAGAGGCCAAGGAGTTGGAACATATGAAAGAGATATTAAAAGACATGGAAGACAGATCCACTACCTGAATTACCAGAGGATAGACTCTATCCTCTGAAAAATAAGCTCACTCCAAAAAAGGGGTGGTGGGGGGAATGCAAGAAGGGATGCTTTGCAAAATAATGTAGAAAGTTTACCGCTAAGTCCCAATAAGATTTGGTGACAAAAATTTTACTAACAATCTGCAATTAAAATTTTCAACAATAACAAGGTAGTTACTAGAAAGTGGGGGAGAGGAAGAGAATAGACAAAAAGCATGTTAAGATCCTTCTCTGATAGAAGAGAAGCTACAGATACCAATCAACTCAACATGTTAGAAAAATATATTGAAGTACATATATTATAAAATTAAGAGTAGTTATTAGAATTACAAATAAAAGAGATGAGTTCAAATCATTTGGTGGTGGGGAGAAGCTCAGAATGAAATCATAATCAATCTTGCTCTGTACTGAAGGAATAATATACAGTGATTAATTAGGATGTTTCTGCATTGTAAGAATTGCTTATTATTAGCAAATCTCTGACAATGATGTCAATAGATAAAAGGAGAAAAACAGATGAGCATCTTCATAGATGTTAAAATTCACTTGATAAAATTCAGCACCCAGCTTTGACTAAAAACTTTAATTAAAATAGGTTTCAAAAAGATACTTTAAAAACTTAATAAAGAATATATCAAATCTAAGTTAAACCAATATTCCACCGCCAAGGCATTTCCATTAAACTCAGTGTCAAGGATGCCCACTATTATTTAATACTGTTCTAGAAGTTCTAGCCATTTTAATAAGGGGGAAATAATTAGAGACAGAAGGGAGGAAATAAAATTATCATTACATTTAGATTATATGTTTGTCAGTGTGGAAAAGCCAAAAGAATTAATTGAAAAACTGTTAGCACTAGTAAGAGAATGTAATGAAGTGAGCAGCACAAAATAAATCATTTTTGAAAAAGGAATCTAATTGTCCAAAAATAGCGGGTTGTGAAATGTAGTATGGTATATCCATGAAATTAATTATTATATGGTCTTTGAAAATAAGTAAATCTAATTCCATGGAAAATTGCTCACTATATGTAAGTGAAAAAAAGCAATTTATTTTTAAAATGTACAACATTTTTATGTGTAATTATGTGTAACTGTACACATATACGTGGAAAGGCTAATAAGATACATACCAAGATATTAACAGTGATTATCACTACATGTTAAGATTATAAGAGAAATTTCCTCTTATTGTTACCTGTAGTTTTCAAATTTTCAACACTGACAATTAAGTACAGCACATTATTTGCTCAGAAAATTTAGTAAGAAAAAAATCAATAGTCCATAATATGAATAATATTCACTCCTACAAAATATAAAAATGCATATTAAAACAACATAGGATGTAACATCTAGATGAAACTTACGACCGTCGATTGGATCACAGTTTAGACAGATCCACTATAAAAGTTACCTGAGTAACAAGGGAGAAGGGGTTTTAAAATAGACCAAGTATTAGATTCTATTAAGAAATAAATGTTAATTTTTGATAATATTATTCAGCTGTGTTGGAAAATGCACATTTTTTTGAGACACAGAGTGAAGCATTTAGAAATAGAATGTCAAAATATCTGTAATTCAAGATATTTAAGCATAAACATATAAAATGAGTCAAGTGGGAATTTTTGTTTCTTAAAGATTTAAAAAAGGTATGATTATTTTCACCTAGCAAATTGGAAAAATTCCAAAATATAATACACAGTATTGATGGGTAGGACTAAAGAACTCTCATTTACTATTGGCGGGAATGAAAATTAGTACAATCTTTCTAAAGGGCAATTTGGTCACATTACATAAACTCCTTAAAAATATGATTGCCCTTATTTTAGCAATTCCACTTTTCAGAATTTTCTTCTAAAGGAATTACAGGAGATAAACATAAAAATATTACTATGAAGTTGCTGAAAGTGAAAGAAGTTCTTTCTATGTATTAATATTCCAAATAGCACAAGTGTGGCATGATGAAAAGTTTTTAAAAATGATCATGTCTACTGTAGAAAATGGTTTAATCAGTCATGGTACACCCATAACATGGAATAACATGCAGCTTCATATACTGCACTTTTGAAAAAAAATGTCTATAATACAATGTTAAGTATATAAAAGAATACAAAATTGTATGTGTAGTAGAACTCTCATTTTGTAAAATATGATTAGAACCTGGCATATACACAAAACTTAGGAGAAAAAAGAATGGGAAGAAATATAACAAATGCTAACAGTGGTTATCTCTGGATGTCTGAATTATAGATGAATTTAATTTTATTTCTTATATTTTTGTGTATTTCCAAAATTTCTAATTTTGAACATCTTTTATAAGTAGTTATATTTAAGACATGTCTTAAAATATAACAAATGTAAAAATATTTTATATTTAAAGAAACACACTTGTGCTATTCGGAATATTAATACATAGAAAGAACTGCTTCCACATGATGCTAAATAGTTGCAAGAGGTCTGTCCATGAAATCTGTGTTCAGGGGGCTGAAACTTGGCCAACGTGTGGGAAAGTTGACCAGCTACTCTAACAGCACCCGGCCCCCAAAGCACAGATATTCCTCCAGGGGCATTTTTACCCTTCAAGCATATATACTTCTAGTATATACACTTAACAAACCAGCCAGGTGCTTTTATATTTAAGAAAAATACAGCAGAGGAAGAGAGATGAGAGTGGAAGATTGGAGAGTTCACAATTTATTTTAAAAGAAAGTAAAAAGAGATAAAAGGTAATAGGTTTTTTTCTTAATGCATCAAGTGAAACGAGGGAGAAAAAAGACAGATGGAAATTCTATTTCAAAACAAACAATGGTGGAAAGGATCTATGCAAATTAAAACTATAAGAAACACAAGATCAGAAAACAAGTAAGTGTGAGGCCTTAATCAAGTCAACAAATATGCAAGCGAGACATTGTTTTATTTGTCAGAGTTTAGATGAGAGACCTAAAGTAAGACACAGTCCCCTGCCACTTCCTACATTTAATCAGCGTTGACTCAGATCTACTGTGTGCCAGGTCTGTGCCAGGCCGTAAGCACCGGGACTTTAAATACAACTAGCACTGGCATCACCCCTTCTTTCAAAGTGCATATAAACTAACGACAGATACAAATAAATACTCATAATACCCTGAAACAGAGGAAAGATCAAGCACTCTTGTCTACTATAAAAATGCAGACGTGTGTTGGGGCCATATCAGCCGCATAAACTACTGTACATGCTACTGAAAACCAGGAACTAAGGAACAGTGAAGAGAGCAGAGGAAATAAATAACATCATTTAGTTCTTTTCCTGAACGATGGCTACGAGTGCTAGTTATTTTTATATCTTTTCAAGATAGCTATAGAGGCACCCTACTTCATATCTTGTATAATCAAAAAGACATTCATTAAAAAAAAACATTTTGCAAAAATTTCAAAGAAATGTTACCTATTTCCTATACAATCATTAGCATTTTCTTGCTTCTTTGAAGTAATTATACCATAATTTGAAAAAGCGACAAAATCTTCTTACTTACCAAGATTTCTTTCTCAGAAGAAGAGAAAATAACTTCTAAATGGACGGGAAAAAATACGTGCTTGACAAAGTGCAAGTCCTTGATATAAGCAAAACAATACCGAAGAACCAGTTTTGCGCCATCTGTTGGACCTTACTGGAATTATTCCTACATGTGAATTTCCATGTTAACGGTCCCTGGCTAAGCATGTGGGTCAGCAGGTTTTTCTGTGCTAGACTAAAACAGTAATGAACTGTCTAAATTCATATGAGCACACAGCTTATGATAATTTCTCTGTGAAGAAAAATGTTTTTCCAAGGCAATGCTGATCTGTAAAGACTTGCAGCCTGAGTCATTAAATTGCCACCAGAGTGGACAGCAATGAACTTTGCCTGTTTTCTGTTATAACCATATTTAACATTGACAAAATAATTGCAACTACCATTATCAAACAGTTTTAGAGCATTATTTTAGCTGGATGAGATACTTTAAAATAAAATAAGCCTAGGTCCAAGATTTGTTTTTTAAAAAATCAACTTTCAAGTTGAGTGGTTGGTATATATTCAAGTTGAGGCAGCCGGATATTCCCTAGACATCCCACTTAACTGAGGTTCTATAAAGAACTGAACATATAAGTTAAATAATCCTTCTATATTAATTCCACAATTTGACATGACAGGCAAGGTGAAAACACAGGCAGATTTTACAAAAACCAAGTTAAGACCCTACAATTGACCCATGACTAAATTGGACATCTGGGTAAGAATCAACTTCTGCTTTCAGTAGGAAGGAGAAGGCCAGCTTCTTACTATTCATTCTTACTCACCAAATGTAACCAGAGGTCTTCTCAGATCTGGGGAGGGACAGCAAAAAGTACATGGGTCTCTGCTGGACCAGCAAAAGGGAACAGGTATAAATGAGTACGTGTCTGTGACACTGGAATTCCAGCTTTATGAAACTAGGAATTTCAAGCAACAATGGACTAAAGTCTTTAAGAAAATACACACACACACACAGACATACACACTCATTACTGCAGGTTTCATCATATTGTACAGTGACTTTAAACAAACTCTCATTAGGATATTGCATAATTCTGGTTTTGTGGAACAAGGAAGACTATTCTTGCTGAGACTATTACAACTCTAAGAAACGTCATTAAGGAGATGACAAACCTCATGACAGCCAGGTACTGTGGAAGACAACATGGCAGCAGAAAATACAGACAGTACTGGGCTGAACTCCTTGCAATGCCACGTACTAGCTGTGTGGCCTTGGGCAAGTTGCATAACCTCCCAGACTCCATTTATTCATCCATAAAATGGGAGTACTTGTGACTTTTAGGGAAGATTATGAATATGAAGTGCTTGGAACAGTGATTGATACAGAAGAGAAGTTATTGTAGTAAGAGTTTTGGAATTCCATGCAAGACTTACATTTTTATATACTAAGGTAGAAAGACTTTGGGATATAATAATAAGTGAAGAAAAGCAAGGTACAGAGAAAAATGGAGAGTGTGGCATCACTTGCCTAAAATCTGGTCTGTCAGACATCTATTTACAAAGGTTACCTTGCCAGACGTTCTTAGTACTTTGTAAATGTCAACTCATTTAACCCTCATAAAGGCGCTAAGAGATTAGTACTATCATTATCCCCATTTATACTGGGGGAGGGAGGATCAGTTAGGCAACTGTCCATGGTTTCACACTGGTCAGCAGTGGAGCAAGGGTTTGAACCCAGATGCAGTCTAGCCTCTGTGTCTGTGTGCTTCAGATACCACCATGCTGCCTGAGATGATACTGTGTGTCCTCTGGGACACACACAGGGGAGAGACAAGGGAGAGAGAGGAGCAGGCAAGGTGAAAATACAGGCAGAGATTACATTTTTGCAGCCACCAGCTAAGGAATGCCAGGAACCACCAGAAGCTGGCAGCCTGCCAACACCTTAATTTTGGACTTCTGGCCTCCAGAATTGTGCAAGAATAAAGGTTTGCTGTTCTAAGCACCTGGTTTATGGGAATTTGTCATGGCACCCGTAGGAAACTGACATAAGGGTCTACATACATATGATGATATATGCACAAAAATATTTTTTTCTTACCTTTGAGCAAAAGAAACTAGGTAGAGAGATTTTTATTCACCATTTTATGCTTTTCATTTGGTTTGAATTTTTTATTACATATGTGCATTACTTTTATTATTTACAAATAAAATAGTGTTATAGTGGGATAAGTAAAATAACATAGTCAAAGGACAGCAGATATACAGTCCTAATACAGACAGAAGGAAAACATTATTTTGATATTTATAAAAAAATGCCTTTGTCTTTTCTGGGAAAATCAATAAATGAATATTAGTGTCTACCAACAGCTTTAAAACAAGTTAAATGAAAATTATCAATATCATAAATATGCAAACCACTAGAAATAAAAATAATTGATAACTTAGATATTAAATTTTGATGTTAAAGCCAAAATCTTCTGCTGAATCCAAAAAAAAAAGATCAAGCCACTTTCTGAGAGAAGATATTTGTAACACATATAACTACAAAAGGATTAATACCCGAAATATATAAAGAATTCCTACAAATTAGTGAGAAAACAACTAACAAACCCAATGGGAGAGATTAGCAAAGGACATAAACAGATTACAGGAAAGGAAACAAATAGCTCAAACATATGAGGAATGCATCCTTATTAGAATATGGGAAGATACGAATTGAGACAACAAGGAGACACCATTATACACCATTGGGATGAACAAAAATTAAGAACATCTGATAATGCCTAATGTTGGTCAGAATGGGAGGAAACAAGACCTGTCATACATGTCCAGAGATTCTGCCTTAAATGGTATGGGATAGGGCTGGGCACCAGTATTAATTTAAAAGCCCTTTAGGTGATTCTGCTCCAACCATATAGAATCAGGGCTCTCTGAGACCTAAACGCATTCCTAGCCCCATTGCCCTCTAGTGGTCCCTAGTTCCTCAGATGTACCCCTCACCCCTCACACCTCAGGGCCTGGAGGTGATGCAGGTGTCCTTTAACCTCACTGCTGCCTCCAGATCACCGTTCCTCCCTCCAACCTCTGACACCTACCATCCTGGTTGCAGTCATCCACAGACCCTATCACTCTCTCTTACTCATACTCATATTTTAGCACTGCTCACCAAGTCCAACACCACCCCTCCCATAATTCTGGTGATCTCAGTTGCTATGTAGAGATTCTTTCATTCCTCTGCTTCTTGGTCCTTTGATACTCTCTCTTCTAGTGATCTTGTCCTGCAACCTGCCTCAGCCACGTATCCCCTTATTATACCATAGATATTATTGCGAATGGTTGTACCCTCTCCATTACCTCAGCTGTGGCATCCTGCTTTCCAGCCACCACCACCCCAACTCCTGCTGATGCCAACAATTCCCTGGCACCACTGCAGCAGACTGAAAGATCATGAGCCACCCTTTTAATCCTCTCTGCATTCACCCTCAGTCACCTTACTTCTCTCTCCTTAAGCCAGGTTAAATCCAGCTCACCTCTGGTCTGTACTGAGTCTGAGCTGCCAAATGCATTTGGAGAAAATACACACCATACTGCCTTGCCTGAAATACATGACAGGGGCCCAACCTCAAGAGGGAGCAGCAACCCTACTATCTTTTCTACTCCCCTCCCCTGGCCCATTCATTCTCTCATCTCTTATGCCTCCTCCCCTCCCTTATGTTTGCAGCACTTCCTTCCCTTCCTCACTCTTGGCTGATGATACTTCATTTTGCACAAAGAAAATAAATACAACCAGAAGAGCATTTCCACATCCTCCACCAAAACTCTATTTGACTGTTTGCACCTGTTCCACCTGTACTTCCCTCTGTTCTGAGTGAATTCTGTGTCAAGAACCAAATCCTCTCCATTGAGTACTGAATCCCATTCCTGCTTGCCTATCAAGGAAATCAGTCTTGCAATTATCTGCTCTCTACTGCATCATTTTTCTATTGCAATGCATTGCTCCAATTAATACATAATTGTTACACTGTCATATTTTTTAAAAACTCCCTTCCTTTGAACCCACAATCTCTTCCTCTTTGCTCCTCGTTACACCAGAACTCCTTGAAAAGAGTAATTTTACTCACTGTCTGCAATTATTCTCCTCCCATTCTCTTAAACCCACTCCAATCAGGTTTCTCTCCCTACCATTCTAGAGAAATAGCTCTTTTCAAGGTCACCAATGACATCTACATGGCCAATCCAAGGATCAGTTCTCAATCTTCATCTGAACTATCAGCAGCATTTAACACAGTTAAAGATCTTGAAAAGTTTTCTCAGATTCTTGGACCCATTCTCCCATCCTCCACTCCATATACCTCCTTCCCAACTTCCTTACCATACATACCTCTGGCATCCTTCCCAGTCTCCTGCAGGGCCCTCCTCATCCATCTGACATGGAACAGCCAAGCCTCAGTCTTGTGCGTTTGCTCCCTTCCTGGTCCATGGCTTAAAAATCTCTTTGCTGATGACACCCCAGTTACTATCTCAGCCCAAATGTCTCCCCTGAACTCCAGACTCTCACATCCAACAGTCTGCTAAACATTTGCTAAACTATTCTTGTTGAAAACCAAATGCTTGAATACTCACTACTTCAAACCCCAAACCTGTCCCTTTTATATCCTTTCTGATCTCCATAAATGATACTTCTATTCTTTCAGTTGCTCAGTTCAAAATCCTGGGAGTAATTTGTGATTTCTTTCTTTTGCTCAAATTCCACATTCAACTTATGAGAAAATTTTCCTGGGTTTTTCTTTTAAATATATCCATAAGCAAAATACCTCTCATGATCGTACACCACTTCCATGGTGGCCAAAACCATTATGATCTCTCACATGGCCTTCTAACTATCTACCTCCATCCATCCACCTCCACCCCATCCCAGTCCTAGTAGAATCAGACACTAGAATCAGACACTTCTACTCAAAAGTTGGAAGGATTCCCGTCACTCGAAGTAGAAGCCAAAATACCTACTGTGGTGTGCTAGGCACTGCCTAGTCAGCCCCATCTCTCAGACTTCACTACCTCTATGGCCTCATCTCCTTCCACTCTGTCCATCCTCCCTCCATTCCAGCCACACTTACCATTCTGCAAGCACACAAGGCATGTTCCCACACTGCTATTGTTGTCTCTCTACCTGAAATTTTACTACTGCTCACACTCTTCCAAGGAGCCTACAGTGAAATGTCACTTATGGGCAAAGCCTTCC